AACAGCGGTGTGGCTAATACTACTAGTAACACTTTAATTTTGTTCCTTGATTGTGTTTGGTGTGATGGCATTGGGGACCAGCTGTTCTCTGTGCATTTATTGACCATGCTGCCCAGGTAGGAGCTGAGGAGCACGGTCAGCCTGTGTTTTCCCTGCTGTGCTGAAGAAATTTGGCCGAGAGATCTGGGTCTGCACTGGTCTGGTTGTCCCACCTTTCTGCTCCCTTGTCTGCCAGTCTCTATGTGAGCATTAGAAACAGCAGTGCCAACACCTGAAGCAGCATATGTTGTCACTGCAACCATCTGCTGCCGAGCGTGATGGAGAAAAGGAGGGACTTGAATGTGAGGCCCTTTTATCTGCTCTGTTCTGTGAATCTGTTTATATATATCATGTTAATGACTCTCTATCTGAGCCAGAGCTGCCATTCAGTGAAGATATGTTGAGATGACCTGTCATCGGGGGGATTGCACAAAGGAGCTGCGATTTGAGGAGTGGTGCGGAGGTCAGGGAGGATGCTTAGGCAAAGGGGACAGCTTAGGAGAAAACAAAATGCTCTGAAAACTTAGAAAAGGGGAAGAAAAGAATTTCTGATGAGATTTATCGCAGCCATTATTAATTTGTACATGGAAGGAAGTGGGAAGTGTTTCCCTGTCTCCTTCAAGCTCAGCTGATTCCTATAGCCTGTCAGTGCCTGCAGCCTGGCGGTGGTGAAGAGGCATGTATGTCCTGCTTTTCAGAGCTCGGCCTCTGTATTTCAGAAACATTTCTGTTTCTGTAGATCACCTAAAATTTTCAGAAACCAACTTGAATCGGAGCTTGGGTGGATTGCTCCAAGGCCAGCCCAAGCAAAGCTGTGTACACAGTGCCGGAGGGCAGCGGGCGCTCTAGGTAAGTGATCTTGATAGGTACACTCTGATTGATGGGGGAGTTTGTCTCCCAAACTGTCACAGGGTTTATAGAGGTGCCACTCAATACCAGTGCTGGAATTGCTTGTCAGAGCACCTGGCTGCAAGAGCAATGGGGATTGGAGACAGAGCTGTAACTTTGTTTTTTCTCTGCTTAATGGCCCCAGCGCCTGACCTGCCTGCTCACTCCTGTTTGTCTGGACCTTAAGGAGGCAGCAGGGATTAAGGCTGTCAGAGCATGGTGGTGCTTTCGCATCAGGAGGCTAATTGTGTCGGGGATGGCAGCACATGACTAGTGGTTGCCTCCTGCCAAATGCACAGCGAGAACAAAAAAAATTCTTCAACAAGATGTAAAAGAGTTTGTGCTCTGGTTTAATCTGTAAGTAGCATTTTCAAATTCACGTGTGGAATTATGTTCTTGAGGCTTTAAGTGACCCTCTGTGTAAGATTCGCAGCTGTTCCTATGAATAACAGCCTCGGGATCACATCTCCTGTGAATTCCTGGGTCAGGCTTGCAACTTAACATTCAGTTGTTGGATTTCATTTTATTAACACATTAGGATAAAGTTCTGGTCTTGAGCATTGACCTCTGGATAGCGGCGTTGGTTTTAGCAGTGTACTCTAGGCAGCTCTGCGGATGCAGTGAATTACTGCGTGTCCTTCGGTAGCAAAGCCCTGCTGAGGAACCAGGGGCATGCTGCTGGATTGCAAATCACCCAGGTGTGGTGGCTGGGGGTCTTCTGGAAGCTCCCCATCTTATGGGGTCTGAAACAGCGCTGTTACAGAGCTGGCTTGTTCTGCTCAGTGCCCTCTGTGCTCCATTTCGCATTTTCCTCACTTCTGGATGGTACTGTGAAGCTGTCAGCATGAGCTAAAGTTCTGAGCCCTCTTTACACTTGGGCTGAGTTACTGAGAAGCAGGTGTGATCCTATCAGGCCTTTCTTGCATTTAGTGGCCCTCTTAATCCATTTATAACAGCACTTGTCCAGAAATCTGTTTTGAATGAGCCTGAGATGAATGAATAATGTCAAGCAGTTCAGACGTCAAATATTTGAACAGCTGTGTGGGTGTTTTCACTGGCTTTGTGCATGGAAGCAACCTCAGGAAGTTAGGCAAGGAGAGTCGGGTTGAAGCTGTGGCACCAAACCCCAACTCATCAGAACTGGCCTCAGGATCCATCCCTGCTGCAGGCAAAGGCATCAGAATGAGTGGCCTGCCACCAGCCCTCCTGCAGGAGATGCTGGACCGAGCTTGGCATCCTCCTCTTTCACATTCTCAACGTGGTAGTACTGGGATTTATAGACTTTTAGATTTGCACTGGAATCGTATTTTGTCATTTCCCTGCCACCCCCCCCCCTTTTTTTTAGACAACCTTTGAAGTATTAACTGATAGCACGACTAAACTGAAAATCTTTCCTTGGTACAGAGCTTATTTTGTTTAGTGTACAGTTTCTGGATTAGTTTGTTGGGTTTATTTTTACCATGCTGCAATGAATTACACTTACTTAAAAAAAAAAAAAAAAAAAAAAAACACTTCAAAAAAATAGTCCATATTTGGTGTAGAGCTCAAAGTTGGATCACCTTATTGTGACTTCTTTTAGGCGTTGGTTTGGGAGTCCTTGTTCTATCAGAAGGCAAAATTAGCCCTATTTCTACAGCTCGGTTTAGTCTGTAAACTACTCTGTTATGTTCTTCTCCCTATGTGCATCTGTTATCTTAACATGTCTTGTCCAAACCCTTCCCCTATACATTCCTGTGTACAGTAGGAAAGATAGCACCCTGTTGGGAATGCAGTCATTTCTACTGTAGAGCTAGATTTAGCAAAAGATCTGTGAAGTATTACCATTACGGACTTAAAAGGGATTTTCTTAAGTGCAAAGGTTTTGAGAGCAAGGACACTGGGATTCTGAAGTCAAGGTGCCTTCATATTTGTAAATTGTTTCACAGTAAGCAGATCTTCTTTTCTTAAGCTCTAACCATAAACCACTAGTCAGCTTAAGTCACTTGGGAACAAAATTGATAGAAAGATGCACGATTTCTGAGTGCTTGGCATTCTTTCAGGGAGAGACATGCAGGGAGTAGTCTCTGTTAGATTCACTCTTTTGGACCCCTTTCCCTCCCAGCAGGCTCCAAGTATTCATTATCTGGCTAACATTCAGATCACCTCTGGGACAGGCCAAGTCACAGCTCTAGCTTTACATGATTTGTGTTTCCCACAGCTACAAAAGAAAAATGAAGACCTGTATGTCCGAAGTTTATGGCCTTTGAGAAGTGATGGGCTAAAGCAATGCCAGGTGCAGGGGATGGTGTTACTGCAGGTTAAATGCCATGCCTGTAAATTACTGCCCCATCACCCCCTGCGACTTCTCAGGCAGCTTTGAAAGACTATCCAGCTTCTTTGACAGGTCTCTCTTAGTACTCTAAATCTTCTCCCAAACACTGTGATGAACTGAAGGTTTCAAGATTTACTAGACGAGCCATTGCAGCAATAGGAGGCAGCTCATGACATATGTTGGCTGGCAGTGTGTGGCCACTACACTTATAAAGGCTCTGATGGAAGGAGGCTGCCCTGGTGTCACTGCAGAGCTGACCTACGAGCACCTCTTGCACTACCTGACACACAGGGTGGATGTGCATTGTCAATGCTAGTAGCGTTGCTTCTGCTGGAAATTAAGGCTGGCAATTACTTTCAAGTAAAAGGTAGTTTATGCTTCTAGGAAAGGTTAGTCTTAAAATCGTTGTCATGCTACGGTTATCCCTCGTTAAGGACCTTCTTTATATGCAGGGAAGAGAAATATCAGATCCATATAAACAAATTTTATTGGAGGCTTAATGAATCAGTGAAAGCATCCATTCCTAGAGAGCGACAGTAAAGGGCTCTGTCTGCATGGTGTCCTTGGAAATGAGACCTTCGCCTTGCCCTGTTCTCTGCACAGATGCAGACTTAGGAATACAGCTCGCTCCTCTCAGCTGGGAAAGTACAAGTCTGCTGCTGATCACGTGAGATTGTGGGAGCCCAGCTCAAGACATCATATCACTTGAAAAGCTGACTTAGGTTCTGATAACATCATCTTTCTTCAGAGATGCACCTCATGTTCACTATTCCTACATTAATGATCTGCACTTCTGTCTTCTGCACTTAGAACTAGATTGGCAATGCAGAAATCTACCATCTTTGGGACATTCGTGCAAAGCCAAGGCCACCTCTACCTTTCTTGTTGGGTGTCAGCAGGTAGGATGTGCTTGAAAGCCTGGTCACAGACTTGGGTCAGCACCCATCTGTTTGTTCCCCATCCTTTGCCCTCCACCTCGTGCCTACATCTGTCCCAGGAGAGTGGGATGGTAAGTGAAGGAGCGTGCTGGAGGCAGCCAGAGTGAGCAGAATTAGGTCTGTATGGTTTATGTCCCGAGACAACTTAAATCTGCTATAGAATTGAATGCAGATAAGGACCTTGCACTACCCTAGTAGCAGGAGATCTTTGTTGAATTTTTCAATTGCATGTGAGAGAGCACGTCCAGTGTTAGATCACATAGAGGATAAATATAAGGGTTTCCCTCCTATTACTAAACTTCAGGTAGTAAATAGGAAGTGAAGATCCATCTTCTATAGGTGCTTGCATTCAGTTAAAAGAAACCTGATTACAACCAGCTATAGCACAGTCAACAAAATGCTTTGGAACCAAAATAAATCTATGTACTGCTAGAAGGAGGTACTTCTTGCACATCTGGAACCGTTCCTCTTGCTTGGGACTGGGCTTGTGCCTGATCAACTCTTGTTAGAAGTACAGGACTCCTGTTAATTTGTACTAGAACTTGCTCATGTAGGAAGTGTTCATGAGGGGCTGCTAATGACTGAAGCCTGATGTTTAAGAAAAGCAAACCTGCTTCTAAGAAAACATTTTAAATAATAATAATAATAAAAAAAACTGAATGCATTGTTTGCTTATTTGTTTTAAATGATGATACCTTCTGTGAGCCTGTTCAGAGTAAAGGATGACTTGCAGACTGGTGCTGTCCCCCTGTCCTTAGAAGATCTCCTTTGCTTGGTCTCCACTTCAAAAGCTCACCAGCACATTCTGTTGTTTTATTTCCCAGGTTCTGGGTTCATCATGTGCAGCGGCAAAGAGAATCCAGACAGCGACGCTGACCTGGATGTGGATGGGGACGACACACTTGAATACGGGAAACCACAGTATCGTTTTTGAAAGGCTTATAACTGAGAGGGAACCTAGAGATCCATCTTCAGCTAGTCCTTATGTAGCACTGCTTTGGGTAGTGTTAGTGTGTCCAGCTGTACTAGAAAGGGTATCACCTCTCCAAGTTACCACATTACTTGAGCTAGTAGGGATTCTCAGTTTCCTCCCTGTGAGGTCCTTGTATACATGCTGAACTATTTCAGTTCTCGTTGGTGAAGTCTGTATGAGATGTTGAAGGAAATCAAAACTACTGTTTCCCCAATTTGTATTTCATAAGTGATACTAATTGTAATACTCTTGTCTCTGTCCAGGCATCTTCCATATAGATAGCTTTTCCTACTCTGTGGTTAGAAATGTAGTTTATTTTCCACAAGATGTTTGTTTGATTTCAGGGGTTTTGTGCAGTGAATATTTCAAGCATTATTCACCTGCAGCTATAACTGCAAGAATAAGTTTTTATTCCTTTTGTTAGACACTGCCACTTCATTAAGGGCAGTTTTCTGGAACTCCAGCTGGGAGCCAGACTCTTCAGAGACAGCTCCAGAACTTCTGCCCTACAGCAGCTGTGCAGCCATCAAGGAGGACTTCCCACAAGGATATTAGGCAGACGTTGACATAGCTGTGTTGAGAGGGAATATAAATCTATAGAATTAGATTGTGTTCAGATCTGCACCGGTCTTTAACACCAAAGCATCTAGCTTTAGCTGGTACTTCAAACAGAAATAATAGAGTTATGCAAATTTCACTTTTAGAGATTGAGGAATTGGTTTTCCTCTTCTGAAAAGCTGTGGTGTCTTGTTGCTGTCTAATGACTTGTCTGTATCTTTCCACCTAAAACAAAACTGTTATCCAGAATCTAAAAGCAAGCCTCTCCATGGATACCAGCTGCTGTTCCTTTGAGGTGTTCGTTTCTGATTGATGTGAATTTGTTCTGTATCCCAGATAGTGTCCCAACCACCTCAGAATTCTTTCCATTGTCTGCAGCAAGGCTGTATGTTTCTTAACTCCTTGTGCTCAGGTACACAGAGGCAGACGTTATCCCTTGCACTGGAGAAGAGCCAGGTGAAGCCAAAGAGAGGGAGGCGCTCCGAGGTGCTGTTTTAAAGTAAGTGCTGTGCCTTTCTGATCTGCTTTTGTTGCTTCTGGGGAATCTCAACTTGTGGAAGGTATCTGTTTGTTTGACCAAAGGACCACAATAAGGGAGTCTTACAAAGAACCACTGTATAACAGGTGGGTCTCCATTTCTATCTGTGCAGCCTCATAAATCTTCCCTGCACACACTCCCCTACCTTAACCACTACACTGCCCAGCCAATGCTATCTTCTCCCTGAGCAGTCCTCGACAAAGGGTGGATTCTGGCCATGGGGAACCTGTGCTTTGTTCAGGGCTTTGTGCACAGCTTGCCACGTATACAAGATCTGAAACTTGTTCAGTGTATTAGGAGACTGGCACCTAAGGTATGATTTCATTGCATCGTATTTGTGTTGCAGGGTATACAGATTAATTCTGCATGCAGGTCTGGGCAGAATGTGTGCTCTGCCCACAAGCATATGTCAAGAATGTAGGCAGACAGCGTTCAGGGCACTTGGGGAAGCATTTCAGGCAAGTAAAATGAGTCTTAACAGAGAGCTAGGATTGCTTTCTAAGCCCTCTGCCCTGCATAAAGCAGGGCTTAAATTACCCCTCTGTCTCTTTTGCAGAGTGATCCTGTGAGGTCAAGGTTGAAGTGATTGATAGAGCAGTGAAATGAAGTTTTCTTACTGCTTAGTCTGTCACAAACACTAGTTCAAAATTAGGTTCCACTCCATAGAAGTGTGTATTTGCCACACTGGATCCAAACCATTGATCCATTCAGTACTTTGCAAACTGTGCTAGACCACAGGCGTGCCTCAAAGATGCTAAAGCTCCTTCACAGCTAAGGAAAAGAAGTGTTGTAACAAGAAGATATCAGAGTGTCCCTTATTAGTGGCTGTGGACATTTAACACTTACGTGAGACCACTGAGGATGTGAGATGTGGAAACCTAGTTCCTTCATGTGACTTGCACCTAAGATGTTTTGCTGTCTGTGTGAAGTCTTTCCACATCTCTGTAAAGCAGAATGGATAACATTGCTTGTAAAAGCACTTTGAAATTTGGGCAACTTTCTGTAGAAATGCAGTAAATTAGCTGATGCCCTGAAGCATAAGCCTGTGTTACCTTTTGAGCGCAACTGTCACAGCTCATAGAGCTGAAATGTTATACAGCCACAAGTATACAGGCTCCTGGGAAGATTCCTTTCTCTTACTGCCTCTGTTACTGGCTTGCAAATGAATGGATGGGGCCAGGAGTGGTCTGCACTTCAATGCTGTCGTTCTTCAAATGGGAAAATGGGAAGGATGGGGCTTGTGATGGCATACAGTTAGTTCTAAAGCAAGAAGCTATTGCAGCATGGAGGATTTCTGTTCACTGGTAGGGTTTTCATCTTTGAAGCTGGGTATTCGAGAACGAGCTTTAGGTCACAGGTGCTATTTGATTCCTGAGCCTTCAGTCAGCATCACAACCCTCATGTGATTCAGCAGAGGTCACAGCTAGAAGAGCAGGTTGGGAGTTCACTGGTGGAGATGTGGGCTAACACAAAAACACCTCCTGCAGCAAGCCAGCAGCTCACATTTGATGCTTAGACTGATAGTTAGAAGAGTTGGGAGAGATGTATTTGGATTGGTGGGCGGAAGGACTGGCTTTTCCCAAGCAGCAAAATCTTCCACATTCAACCTTTAACATTCTGCCCTTTTCTCTTTTAGTGGTGGCACACCCAGTACTCGAATAACGCCGGAGTTTTCTAAATGGGCCAGCGATGGTGAGTGTTAAGCATGTCAATAATTCATCTGTTAGCTACAGGAGGGCAGATAGATATTCCATATCTTCTGATTACCAGTAATTAGGAAAATGATAGGTACAGGTGCTCTTGTGCAGTACCAGCAGATGTGCGTGCAATCTATTATGTTGGTTTTTTTTAATTTATAGCACAGTGAACTGTAGTCAGTGAATTTGGGGAAGTTTCCAAAAATGGAACTGTAAGTGTTATGGTGATAGAGACAGGGTTGGATTGACTTGCTGTCTTGTCGCTAAAAGACAAACTATTATATCACAGAGGGAGCCATTAGAGCTTGACTGTAATGTTGTTGTTCAGCTGTTAGGAGTTTAAACTATATAGGCACCTGTTGCTTTTTTTTTTCCCTCAGCTGCTTATCATCCTCGCATCTTTAAAGGGGGTATGCTGGAGGTTCTGGGATCTATGCCGCCTTGTGACTTGTTGTGGAGACTCCAGAGCAAGCGAGTGAATGTGAAATTTTAATTCACATTATTAGTAATTCAAATTATTTGGAAGCTCGTATGATTAATTGAGGGGTGGAGGGTTAAACCTATTCAGCTGTTGCTTTGTTTTATTTAATGCCAGCAGCACTGGAAGTGTAAGCAGCAACCCAGTGGAAATATGAGAATAATAAAACCTGGCGCTTTCCAGCTGTAGATGCCAAATCCATTTCCAGAGCTGGGCAGTGCAATTCTAGCTCCCTTAGGAAGGGAGCTGAAGCTCAGCGACCTGAAGAGACTTGTCCCAATGATTCTGTTTCCTGTTCTGTTACAGCAATGCTTTGGGCTTTTGATTCCCAGCCTTTAAAGTACCTACAAGACATAACAGACTGTCAGTGGAAGAGGGGGTTGGGTAGGAGCAGTTTTGCCAAAGGCATGATGATTAAATGAAGAACATAAGATATCTATCGCAGGCATTTGCTTCTGTGGGGTAGGCAATCACATCTGTTTTCTTTGATGTAGACTCACTCGCTCGTAGGTGCGTTCAGCTTCAGTAACTGCAGCAACAGCAGTGATGAGGAAGCAGCTCTGATGGTGCTTGCTATGAGCTCTGTTTCCTTCATACCTTTTACATGAAGCAGTGGTGCTGAACCTGCAGCCCAGGGACTGGCCCCAGGGTGGTTCATATGGCTTGTTTCTGACTGTTAGCTTTCCTGGAGGCTCACACCCCTTCAGTGTTGGGAGGAGCCATGGGACTGCTGGTTGAGAAGAGAGCCACGAGCAGACTGTTCTGTCATACTACTTACTGGCATATATTTTTCTTCCTGTCTGTGTCTGAACAGTCTTGGAAAAAGGGAGAAGTTGAGAGCAGAGTCTGGGCTGGATACGTTTGCTCTATAGTCACCTTTCTGGAAGTGCTTTTTGGTACAACAGCTGCATCAAACCTTTCTGAATTAAATCCTGGCTTAAACAGCTGGCACATCTGCAAGGGTAGTCAGTTTGTAGTGAAAAGAGGGTGTGTATTGTACCTTCAGCCTAACTTACGGAACTGTGCTATGCAGGGAAAGGGCCTCCCTGCCAGACAGGGATATGTGGTATTGGTCTCCTCTCTTGAAAAGTTGACATGAAAATGTCTCACCGGAGTCCTCTGCTTCTGAAACTGTAACTCAGACTATTTCATCTCAGTGATAAAAAATGTCCTGTTCTGTTACTAATTTGTCTGTTCTTCCCTCAACAGAAATGCCCTCAACGAGTAATGGTGAAAGCAGTAAACAGGAAACCATGCAGAAGACCTGTAAGAACAGTGACATTGAAAAGTGAGTGTAAAGTGGATAGCTTTTATTTCTTCTTGGTTTAAGAACAACGGAGTCCACTGACTGTCATTTATCTCTGTTTTTGAGGGCAGTCCATTGTCTCTGTTCTGTCTTTTCTAATGTACTTGCATGTACCACCCTGCATCTTTCCAACAAGGGGGAACCCAGCAGTCCCATAACTTGGCAGGAGCCTCACTGAGAGAATTAAGATCCAGATTATATCTCTGTATGGTTACTAACAAAAATATTTCTCAGTCTCTATGTTTATTCTACCTACAGCCCTTCCAGTCAAATCAGAAATTTGATTCTGTGTTTGAATGTTCAATAATGCAGGTGCCCCAATCATTTCCTTTCCTTTCCTTCTCTGCTAGCTGAATATCCTCCAGCATAGGAGAGAAAAAAATGCTTTTTTTCTGCACTTTGTGATTGAGTAACAACCTCCCTCCTCAGCTTATTCCCACAAGCTGCTCAGGAGGTGTCCTGCTTAGGCAGCATTTGGCAGTCCACGCATACAACTGCAGGCTGTCCACTGTTGCCATGGGCTGTTCCTGAAATAAAATGTTGTCCCAGCATCAAGTGAGAGGCAAAGCAGCTTGGATGAAATGGAAGACATGAGTAAAAGCAGGTTTTAAAAAGGGATTATTTACATTTTGGGGCTAGATATATTGATAATTTAGGATGGGGAAAAAACTGAAGTTGAAATGAAGACTTTAAAGAAAGTTATTCTTTAATGTAGTTAATTAACTTCTTGCCCTGGTCCTGATGCAAAAACTTGTGTCACTTGCACATTGTCGGGTGCCTCATAGTTCAGGAAGCCTGGCAAAGCTTTTGTTCACAATCAGGAGTTATAGCTGAGGAAATTCCCTGCTGCAGAAGAAGCTTTAACAGTGCTTTGCAGTCTTGGCACTTTACTTTTTGCAAGACAATTTTTTGGCATATCCCAAACATGGGCTGTGTGCTGTTTGATACTTGGTGAGCAGACTTTGGCCAAAGACCATACAGCAGGAGAGCTCACAGGTCAATACTGAGGCAGTGTTGCCCTTAGAGCGAGCCTGGCTACTGTACATGTCCTGGTGGCCAGGACTCAAGAATACGCACATCCCATTTGCCCTGATCTGTCAGCCTCTGTCTCAGACACTGCTCCAGGCCTCCTGCCTGTCAGACTAGCAGCCCTCCACCCTCCCAGATCTACTTCTATTGAAAATCTTTAAACTGCAGGAGCTGAAAGGATTTGACATTTTCCAGAACACTTGAGCTCAAGTGATAAAATTGACATAGCTTTAATAATCTGATCAAAGAGGCTTTAGCTAGCACCTTTTAAAGGATCCCAGAATCCTTTCCAAACAACACTTGTGCCAGCTCTGCTGTGAAGTAGAGGGGTGAGTGTGTGTGTGTGTGTGTTTGCGTGCACATGTGTGTGTATATATGCACACAATGCCTTGTTCCACAATAACCTTGTCCTGCTGAAGCTTCAATGCCGCAGAAGGTGCAAAAGGTCAGCAAAACCCAATAGAAATTACAGGAAGGACCTCTGTGTCTTGCTGAGTCTTTCCAATAATGCTGATTTTTAAAGAACCAGGGAGGGCTTTTTATTTAAGGCCCTTTATTTCACTGAGGTTCAGAAAGCAAGATGGTGTTTCAGGTGGAGAATTCCTAACTGCTGTTTTTTGTTGTTGTTTTGTTGGGTTTTTGTTTTTTGGTTGGTTTTTTTTTTTTTTTTTTGCTCCTTTCCTTTGAGATTTGTGTGTGATAAATAGTTTCTGCCCTGCCATTTAAGAAGTCTGAATGCTCTGTGTGCTTGTCTATGTAGAGGGGTTCTGTTAAATTAATTGATAACAGGGATCAGAGCTAGAAGCCTGAGGAGGGGGGGGGGGAAGGGTTTCATACTGTCTGTCTGTTTCCCACTCTACTGCTGAGCCATGATATATGGCGACCCAACCCAACAGGCTAAATTGATTCATCTCTAGTTCCTGTTTCTTAATCTGGACCTAAATTGGTTTCATTTTTCTTGTATTGGGTGGCACTTGCAGGAAGTTTTCAGCAGCATTGCTTTACGCTGTTGCTTGTAACTTTAATTTTTGCTTTTAGACCTGAACATTGCTGATAGGCACGTTAAGCACTGTGTAGCATCTGATGGGCATTCTTTAAAGCATTGGGAAGCACGTGGCTTACCACCTGTGTCAGCCATGCCCTCTGTTCAGGCAGTGGCAAATAGAGTTAGCAGTGATCTGCATATCGATCCTTCCTTCTTATGGGTGATGTTCCTTCCCCCTCCCCTCTTCCAAAAATACATCTAGGCGAGGAGAGCAGAGTTTCTCTGATAGGTCAGCACTGAGAAATGGAGCTCATCTGTGTTAGCTCTGAACTTTGAGTGGCAGCCGTGTGCTGGGCACTCTCCTTCCCAGCACTGCAGGCTCAGATAATCTCATCTCTATGCCAATGGAAGGTGTCTGGACAGCACCACCGGGTGCTTTGTGCTGCAGGCTCCTGGGAGCAGACAGGCCATGTGGGCCCTCAGCAGATGGGCCGAGCTCAGCTGGCATGAGACGTGGTTCCGGTCAGCAAAGCAGTCCCTAATTGCCCAAAAGCACACCCCACATCTCTGCAAGAGACACAGAAGTGCTTTTTCCCACAGAAGTCCTCCTCCTCCTCCACCCTGGAGCTGCCCGCAGCGGCCTGGCGCCATTTTGAGGCCGAGGTTCCCTGGGGTTAAAAGCCAGCATCTTAATTCAGAGTGCCAATGTTCAATTTTGCTTTCTGCCACCAGACTAGATTGCAGGCCAGCGAGAGAGTCTGGGTTAGTGGCCCACTGGGTCACCTCCCATTTGTTTTCCTCAATTTTGTGTTGTCATAAATTCATTCCAGCCCGTTGTGGTTGATCAGTTTATCTCCGCCGGGGCAGGGAGCGCTGCGAGCATGATGTATGGCACGGAGCATTGTAGCCAGCCTCTCCATGAATCACTCCAGCTGGTTGGTGTCAGCCCCAAAGCAAACAGGCCCCGGCCGCTGAGCGTTGACTACGATGAGCTCAGTATGGGAAGAGACATGACGTATGAATGTTTATTTAATAATTCTCTAATATTTCCAGCGGAGTGTGGCTGTGCCTTCTGGGGGGAGGGAGGGAGGTTGAAGAGGGAAACTCTAATCTGTTGGGGTGGGTCATAAATCAGGAAGACAACATCATTAATCAGGGATGGGACTGAACTGGAAGGAGGTGGGACTGGAGCTGCCATCCTCAGTGGGAAGGGGGCTGTGCTCTTTTTCTTTTTTTCTTTCTTTTTTTTTTTTTTTTAAATCCTGTTTCTGATTCTACTTGGCCCCAGCAGTGCTGCCCATGTAATAGCAAGCCTGGACACAGGGCTGTTTAAGTGAGTATGCTACTTCCACCTTGCGATGCAAGCCTGCCAAGCATTAAATCCCTTTATAATTATCTTCTTTATATAACACTTCATGCTCATCATGCTTCATTGGATGAGATGCTCGTTGGGTTAAAAAAAGGGTCTGGGAGACAAAAAACAATTGTATTCTATTTTTCTGGTCTCCTCTTTCTTCCTCTTCCCCCCTCACTTCACCTCTTTCCAGAGCAGCTGTTCAGAAAGCATTGGCTCTAATGTTGGCTGCTGCAGGAGCATGAGGGAGAGAATTAGTGAAGATTGAAGTATAGGGTGGATTCCATGTGCAAAGAGCAGTAGGTGAGACAGCAGTGTCTGGGTCTAAGGCCCTCTGCTCCTGGGGAGACAGGTTGAGACTGGAGCCTCTGCTCCAGCGTGCAGCCAGAGGATTAGCTCAGGCCTCAAAGGCAAGGAGCCACGCTTAAGCCACTGTGTCACAGGGAAACAGAAGCTGTCGTGCATTCGCACCGGAGGATAAGCACTCCCCAGCCCTTCTCTGTAATGTCACACCATTAATAGGCTTTGGTGGTAGACAAGAAAATCCTGTAGCAAGGATAAATTTTTTTAAAATTACCTCAAGCCGTTAATGACCTAGCCCTTTGTGCTCAGGGGGGAGCATGGGGCTGAGGATCTGTAACAAGAGGCTCCAGGCTGAGACCAGCCCACACAGACTGGAGACGAGGTTTGGGAAGCATGGGGTTGTTGAAGCTGGGCTGAGTGCTGCCTGTGTCTCAGGGCTCTTGTCCAGATCTGTTATTTATTTTTTAAGCGTTAGTTCTTCCTGTCAGTAATTTAATAGAATGTAATATGTGCTGGTGGTCAGAGTTGGAAAGGTGCATGGGCAGATGTTGGGCTTCTTTTATGAAGTGAGACATTCACATTACTTCATCCTCTAGATTGAGTGTTCAGGCTCTGGTAGTGAACAGAGTGCTGGGTTTTCTGCTCCCTCCTTTAACTGTTTGGTAGAAACTAGATGTGCCAGTGATGATCCCAGATGTGATTACCACTGTGCCAGCTGAAATTCTGTCAGCGTCATGGTTCTTCTCAGGGTAGCAATTAACAAATTGGATCAGCCTCCCAGTTAACTAGTGACAGGATGAGAGGGAATGGCCTCAAGTTGCACCGGGGAGATTCAGTTTTCATTAGGAAAAGCTTCTCTGAAAAGAGTGGTCGGGCACTGGCAGAGGCTGTCCAGGAGGTGGTAGAGTCACCGTCCCTGAAGGTGTTCACAAAACGTGGGGATATGGCACTGAGAGATGTGGTTTAGTGGGTGATATTGGTTGTAGGTGGACAGTTGGATTGGATGATCTTTGAGGTCTTTTCCAACCATAATGATTCCATGATTCTACAAAGCTCAGCAAGGCAGGCTAATGGGAAGAGCTTGGATCTGGTGTGACAGTGGTATCCATTCAACAAGTTGTATCCAGAGATAGGGTCTAATACTTATACTTTGGAGACAGTTCTTGCAGACATATTGGACATCTTCCTGCAGTGGAAGAGGTGCTTTTGTCTGTAACGTTTTAGAGCTGAAGTGTCTGCAAAGGCAGAGTGGCTGTCAGCTCTTGTGGCAATAGCATCCTCATCCCACCATGAGCTCAAACCCCAGGAAGG